TTGATTCTTGACACTTAGAGCACCTGAACTATCTGCAGGCTTCTTCAACTCAAGAAAGAAGAGATATTTTACCTTAAGCCACTGGAATTTTGGGTTTTCCTGTAACTTGTACCTAAACCTAACCTTGGCTAACTGAAAGGGAGAGAAAGACAGAGAAAAGAAGAAAATTCACAAAACTAAAAGCTTTGAATAGATCAATAAGATAGATATACCTCTGGTAATAACAATCAAGGAAAAAAACTGAAATAAACAAAATTCACAACAAAAAGAAGAAATATATACAGACAAGAGAGATTTTAAAAATTAAAAACATGAAAACTTAAAATAAATGAAATTGATATATTTCTGAAAAATATAAAATGCCAAAATTGGCTCAAGAAAAATACAAAATAATAACCATTAAAGAATTTGAAATGATAATAAAAAGCTCCCCATAAAGTCCTCTAGGCTCAAGATGGAACATTTTATTTTCTAACGTAGATAGAAACATTTTAAACAAAATAACTAACTGAATCCAACAATGCATTAAAAAAAAAACTGTGATCAAATAGTATGTATCCCAGAAATGGAAAGATGTTTTAACAATAGAAAACGTACCAATTTGTTTCACCACATTAAAGGAGAAAAACAACATGATTATCTTAGTAGGTGCAAACAAAGCTTTCAATCAAAAATTTAATACCTATTTGTAATTTAAAAACTCTTTGGAAATGTCTTCAATTTGACAAAGTCTTCATGTCAAAAGCTATATTTAATAGAAAAAATTCAGATACAGTTCCTTTAAATCAGGAAAAGACAAGAATCCCAAATATAAACTACTTTTTAACACAATACTAGAGGCTCTGGCTAAAGTAATAATACAAGAAAAAGAAAAACGTTAAAAGAATAGGAAGAGAAGAGACAACTGCCATTTTGCTGTTGATTTTTCTCACAGGTTAGAAAACATCTGAAATGATTAACAAACTATTAGACATAATATGAGAGTTCATGAAATTTTCCAATTATAATATTAACATAAAATAATAGCATTTGCCTACATGAGCAGAGCAAATAAAAAAATTATAGAACGTAAGATACTATTCTCAATACTATAAAAGCTATGAAATGTCTAAGAAGTACATTTTAAATAGTATTGTCAGGGAAGACCTCTCCAATAATGTAACTTTTGAGATGAGACCTGAATGAAGTGAGAGTCAGACAAGCAGATACCTGAAAAAGAGCATTCTGGGCAGAGAAAACTGTAAGGACATATGACTTCACACCTTTGAAATCTCTTTTCCTTTCAACATCAGAATATTTTTCTTTCTGTTGAGTTCAGTCATGTTTTAACATTTAAATATTTTATCCAAGTTAAGAAGAAATCCTCAAATAATTTCTTTTCTAGCCTTGGCATAGGACATTTGGTTTTTTTAAAAACAAAATTTAGAAGCCAAATAAGAAAATATTGATAACATTTCTAGAAGGCCAAACCAACAATAAGCAAAGTAGAAATACAAACGACAACTTGGATTAAAAAGTATTTTCATCTCTTTTCTCCCCACCCTACACTTCATCTGGCTGACCCTCCTCATCCTTAATACTCAGCTCGAGGGTCATTTCCTTCAGAAAACCTTCCCTGATGCTCACCAAAGGCATCCTTCTTTGATGCTCCTACACTTTTCCGAGCATACTTGTGTCACTGTTCTTATCATATTGTTTGGAAATCAATTGTAAACTGGGCTTGCATGTGTTAGTCTTTTCTTCCCAATTAGTTGGTGAATGTCAGAGTCATGGGATTTTTGATGTGAAATTACATGAGATAACACAGGTGAATATCTTAGCAGGATTCCAGTCTTCCCTGGGTCTGCTACTTTCTGATTGTGTGATGTTGTGTAAGTCACTTAAACACTCCGCATCTCAATTTCATCTTCTGAACAGGATGATGACATTAATACCAATTTTACAATGTTGCTTTGAGAATTAAATGAATTCGTGCATGTGAGAGATGTGATTATAATTGAATATTTCTCTCATTCTGTACTGCATCTAACTCAGCGTCAAGCACATGGAAGGCATCATTTTAATAAATGTTCACAGAGGGAGTGAGTGAATCCTACAGGGAGTATTTTGTTAGAAGGAAGGCACCCTAGCTCTGTGGTGGGTGGGTGGCTGTCTGTGGAAACAGAAACCACCAGAGATCCCTGGGGAAGGCAGACCTCTCAGGCACACTCTGAATGGTAGCATGGGAAAACCAACTCCCAGGAGCCCATGTGGGTGGCATTTCTATCTCCCTCTCCATGCATGCTGTGCTACTCACACAACAAGAAGGAAGTCTCTGAGGACTCCAGCAGAAGAGAAGAAGTCTACCCTCCTTCCTGTTCTGCTTCCTGAAGAGGAGCTGACACACAGAACTGAATCTGGCCCTGTTAGGTGCTGATTTTTCCAGGCATTTGTCTATCAATGTTATCCAACTCTGCCCAGGTATTTGTCTATCAACGCTATCCAACAGAACTTTCTGCACTGATGGGAATGTTCTATGGATATGCTGTGCAATATAATAGCCACTAGCCACATGTGGCTATTGAGTGCTGGAAATGTGGCTAGTCTGACTAAGTAATTGATTTTTAAATTTTATTAAAAATTTAAATTTAACAGTATAGTTCTATACAAATGTCTTGGTTGACATTTCAAATTACCATTTGATGAGAACCTTCTATGTGCTACATACACTTGTGTAGATTATTTACTACACAGCCTCCTGATTTTCTTGGCTCTGGTTTAGCAACCAGAGGAGCTAAGCAGATCCCTGACCTACTTAAAAATTTGTCAATGAGTTTCTATCACTTATAGGATCTAGTCCCCCACATCTGAGTTCTCCGGATTCTATCCTTGTCTATTGATGCACCACTCTCACCTTGCTCTTTACCTCATACTATCCTTTGCTTTGCCCATGATCTTTCTGTTGCCTCAACCACCCTTCCTCCCTGTACCACCATTTTCTTTGCCCAGCTTACTCCTACTTTCCCTTGAAGAGTCAGACCACACACTCTCTCCTCCAGGAAGTTTTCCCTGAACATCCCTTTACCTATCCCCTCTACCTCCAGCTGGGTTGTATGCCCTTCCTCTGGGCTCCTACAGCCTCCCATACTTTGTCAGAACATTGATCATGCTCAGTTGTAATTACTGATTAAATCTTTTTTTCCCTTCTGGACTGTGAGCTCCTAGAAACCATGGACTATGCTACCTTTTAAACTCCTCAAATGTGTGGGATATTTCTGAGGGGTATTTTCATGTAACTTTCTGTAGAAGATTGTTGTGGTGCCTACACCTTATCCCTGATTTCCGTGCAGGTGAACGGATAATTCCATGCATGTTGCCAGCATCCCACCCCCAAAAGCCTTCTGGGCACTCTGCTTTTCTGCCTCAAGGCTTTCTCTCAAACCCTGGAAGGCTGCTTAGCCCTGGGCAAGCCTAAGCAGGAAATATGAAAGAGTTCAAGCTGGGAGATGGAGGTAACCCTCAACCAGTGGGGGTGGAAATTAAGAGGTAAATGACCCAGCCTCCTTGTTCTTTAGCAGACAATGCTGAGGTATATTCTACATGGTTCTTCAGGGAGTCTCCAGTGAGAGTAAGCCCGTTGTCTACTAAAGCAATCAGCTCAATAACACACATTTTTCTTGGCTTTTCCCTCTTACCTCTTTCACTCTCTCCAACTCACTTCTGTTTCCTGGGCTTACCTTCCAAATTACCAGCACTGAAGTCCTCGCCTCAGGCTCTGCTTTTGGGGAACCCAAATGAAGATACTACTTCTTCAGGAGCTTCTTCAGAGACAACATTTTGCCCTATGTGGTTTGCGCTCTGGCCGTACTGGACCGTAGTTTCATTGCTCATCCCTACACTCTGTGCCTTAGCTCATGCTGCTGCACTTCCTGGCATACTCTTCTCCTTTGCCTGGTTGTCAGCTATTGATTCTTCAAGACTCAGCTAGGGTATCCACTCCTCTTTGAAGTCTTCACTGGTGTTCCCCACCCCCTCGTCCCCTCAATGTAGACTTCCATCTCTACACTCCTGTAGCACTTCCAACGCTAGTTAACCTCTGTCAAAGCCATTCTCTCTCTTCCTTTCTCTATGAACCCTTTGAGAAGAAGGGGCCTACCTAGCAAGGTACTTGCTAAAAAATTAAGTGCTCAATAAAACTGGTAGGAATGTGCAGGAGTGAATTCCAGGATCATTTTTCATTCTACAAGTATTTACTGAGCACTTACCTTGCGTCAAGCACTATGCTGTATTATGGAGTACACAAAGATGAAGACACCCACCCCAGGTATCAGGAAGCTCACCCTCAAGTGAGGAAGCAGAAGTAAATAGTGTAAAGAACCTTCTAAGTGTCAGGACAGGGATGCACAGGGGACTGTGGGATGACAGAGTAGCTCAGGAAAGGGTAACGTTCTACCTTGGTCTTACAAGATAGTGGAGAGATGGGAAAGGGCATCCTAGGTATACTGAGAAACACATCAGCAAAATAGAAGCCTTTTCTAGAGCTGGGGGCTGGTGCGGTTGTAGAGGCACGAGGAGCCCGATCCCGTTGGACCTCTGTGTGCTTGAGGTGAGGCGGGTACAGCATTATTGATTCTCAGCGCATTTCAGTTCAGGACAAAAAATTATCCGGCACTTTGGCCAGGGTCAAGCACAGTGCGAAGCGAAGCGTTGGGAAGCCAAGAAACCTGTCTCAGGCCCCCAAAGTTGAGCACCAACCACGGAAAAGCCAGCCCATCTAGCTCTGCGGTCAGCTCTAGAGCCCACGTTGGCGGCAACAGACGGCCATCCCGGCCGACCTGGCCCCGGGCCCGAGAGGCGGCAGAGCATGCTCAGTCGCCGGGACGCGCCGGCGGGGGCGAGGGGGAGAAGCGCCGCGGAATCCCCGCCCCGCAGCCGCCCGCCCGCGAGGGTGCCCGAGGCGCGGGGGCGGGGCCGCGGACGCACGCTCCCTCCAGCCCGCCCCCACCCCCACCCCCCGCCACGCGCCGGCCTCCAGTGCGCCGGCCTCCCGTTGCCCTGGCAACCGTCGCGCCGCGTCCTCCTGAGGGAGTTCCTGTCAGCCCGCTGATCCCATCGCCTGCTCTTCACTGCCCCGCGATTTTTGCGTGGGCTCAGAGGCGGAGGGACAACAAAAAATGGCGGAGCGGAGCCAGACGGCGCCTGAGGCAGGTCTGTGGGGGCGGTCGATCAGGGGAGGCGCTGAGGCATCACGGCTGTCCTGGGCCTGAGGGGCCAGGCGACTTGGGCATGGCCCTGCTCCTGAGGAGGCGCCCCTGGGCGTTTGCGCGGTGGGGCTATGTCCTCGGGGTCAGGGGTCAAGGGAGGTGCGTACCCCTCTGAGGGGCGGGCAGGGACCTCGGAGTCCCGGTGGCGCAGGGGTGTATGGGGGAATGTGCACGCTCCCGAGTGAGCATGGCCTGGAAAGGTCTGGGACCCCAGGGAAGACACAGAACTCCAATCCTCAGGGGCATCTTTGATGGGGGCTGACCGTGGGGTAGGCTGGGTCGTGGAGAGGGTGTGCATAATCCTGTGGCACTGTGGGAAGGCTCCCTAAGGTGGCACGGTTTAGGGGAGAGGGTCTCATTCTGAGAAGGCAGGGGTATGTGGAGGAATGTTACTTTAATATCAGGCAGTGCCGTGGAAGGGGGTATACACCGAGTATTTGTGCTTTGGGGAAATGTAGTGCCTTAGGGTCACCCCTGGCCACAGAGAAAGTATACCAAGTCCTCGTATGGGTCCTTACAAGGACAAAAGATGGGACACCCAGAGTCCCAGTCCTTCAGAATCCTACCAAAGGAGGCTGGATTCTGAGTGTGAGTGTATATGGGATCAGTGATCTTGAAGGTTCTTCAGAATCACAAAGAGGTGAATGTCCGCCTCTGTATATGTGGGTGGAAGATAGTCTTTAAGGTGCAGGGATACTGACAGGAAAGGGGGTCCAGGATCCTATTCCTGAGGGAACCCCATTGTGAGTATGGCCAGGCTTGCAGAGAGAGTGACCTAAGTAAGTGTCTTACAGGGTCATAGAAGAGAGCAAGGGCTTTCACAGTCCTGTGTATGTGGGAGGGAGTTTGTCCCTAAAAGGGGCTGGGGGCTCTAGAACTGGAGGCTCAATACAAGTGATATCTGTGTGTGTGAAGAAGAGCAGAGGCTTTGGGGATATGTGTGGTGGTGGGTGATGGCGGTGGTATACATGGTCTTGTATATGTGTCCTGATTAGGTATTTTGGTTACAAGAGTGATCCACTTGAATTATCCAGCCCTGGGGGGTGTGGTGAGGAGGGAGCTGGTGATTATGGTGAGACCATACAGTGACTGGAACTGGAAACTGTATGAAGCCATCAAGAATGGTTCAAAAGACCATTCTCTCACAAGACCCGCATGGTTTCTCTTTCTTTCATGGCATCTCTGTTTCTTCCATCAAGTAGTTCCTCTACTCATTTTATAGTTTCAGCTTCCTCGTAACTTGAACATGCTCATTCCTTTATTCATTCATCCACTCAACAAATATTCACTGAGTGCCACCTACATGCCGCGCACCAAGTTAGGCACTGGAAACTCCCTGCTTGTGATTCTCTTACCTTGTTCATTTTTTTCTGTCCCATAGACTTACTGCCTTCACACATATTATTTAATCCTCTTATTTTTCTTGCTTATTGCTTGTTTTCTTCCATTAGAATATAGGCTCCATGAAGGCAATTGTCTTTGTTGTGTTTATTAATCCCGCATATCTAGAACTGTTCCTGGTACAGAGTAGTTTATTGATAAATATTTGTTAAATGAATAACTGAATGACCTGATATTGTCTAGAGGTTCAAGAAGCTTTCTCTGAGGAAGTGATATTTTAGCTGAGATATAAAAGGGATTGAGTAAATGAAGAGAAGGGCAAAGAGTGGTCCAGGCAGAGGGAAACCATAGGCAAAGACCCTAAGGTAAGAGGAAACATGGTGTGCTATGTTTAAGGAACTGAAAGGAGGCGAATGTGGCCGCATGTACAGCAATAGGAGGAGAAAAGAGGTAAACTGAAGCAGATCTTGCAGGGCCTTATAGGCTAGATACAAATTTTGGTCAAAAATCCTAATAATAAAGGAAATCATTGAGGGCTTTTAAAAAGTGGGTGCGCGACATGATTAGAATCATTAAAAAAAATAACTCTGGCTACAGTGTGGAGAGTAGAGAAGATACAAAAGTGGATATAGGGAGACCTGTTAGAAGGTAGCAGTGGCGATGGAGTGAAGGAATTGAGAAGTGTTTAGGAGATAAAATTTATAGGACTTAGTGAAAGATGGGGATGAGGGAGAAGGCGATATCAAGGCATACTTCTAATTTTATAATTTGTGCAACTGGATGGTCGGTGGTGCCATTGCAGAGATAGGGAGCATAGGAAGGGATCTTGGCTAGGTTTGAAAGGGAAGAACATAAGTTTGGTTTTGGATATATGGAGTCTGAGGTATCTTTGAGACATCTGTGTAAGTGGAGAGATTGACAAAGCAGTTGAATTTACAAGAAAAGTTTGAGCTAGCGTACCGATAATTGCTGAAGTCATGAGTGTGGATGAAATTGCCTAGAGGGAGGGTAAAGAGTGTGGGGAGAAGAGGCTTGGGATTAAGTGTTGAGTAGCTGTAATATTTCATTGCTTTCCAAAGAGACTGAAAAGGTACAACCAGAGAGATAAGAGGACAACCAAAAGAATGTTTTAAGATAAATGGCATATTCAACAGATTGAGTGCTGCCAAGTGATATAAAAAGGAAGGCTGAAAAAGTAGATTTAGCAACAGATTTAGCGTCATGGGTAACCTTGATGAGAGAAAATTGATGGAAATAGGAGCCAAACCATTTAACTTCTGAGTCGCTATTAACTGGCTTAATCTTTTTTTCTTAATTCAGATTCCCATAGAGAGGATCTGATTGACACACATTATCTTTACCTACCAGATCATGTCACAGATCACAAGCAAGTGTTAGGTTGCCTGTCTTTGGATTAAGTGTCCAGCTATTGCTGGCTGGAGTCACCTGGTTCAAAATATGTCTCTCTGGTGATTTCTCATCTCAATAGCAATAACTAACATTTGTGGAGTGTTTATTATGTGCCAGACATTGTACTAAGTGCTTATATGTTTTAATCCACTTTAGTGCCATAACTACTCTCTAAGGTATTAATATGTGAAGAAGTTTTGGCACAGAGAAATTAAGCAACTTGTTCAATATCTGCAAATTATTAGAGTAAGATTATAGTTTTGTGGCTATTTTAACATTATTTAGAGTCATTATTTGGCTTTCTGTTTGTATTGCAACATAATACATACTGAAGAAATAATAGCCATGATGAAAATTCCTGCCCTACAAGAAATATTATTCTAAGCTAAACATACGTTAGCAAGGTAAAGTGGAAAGAACTGGGCTCAGATCCTTGTTTAAATCCTGTTTTTGTGACTTAGATGTGGACCTTGGATTAAAATGTTATGATCTTCAGTTTTTTCATCTATAGAATGGCGATGATATTTGCAGGACAATTTTTGTTTTTTTGAGGAAGATTAGCCCTGAGCTAACATCTGCCGCCAATCCTCCTCTTTTTGCTGAGGAAGGCTGGCCCTGAGCTAACATTCGTGCCCATCTTCCTCCACTTTATATGTGGGACGCCTACCACAGCATGGCTTGTCCAGCGGTGCCATGTCTGCACCCAGGATCTGAACCGGCGAACCCTGGGCCACCAAAGCGGAATGTGCACACTTAGCCACTGCGCCGGCCCTGTTGCATGACAATTTTGAATGCTAGAGGTAATATATCCTAAGCGCCCAATAAATGATATTTCCTTAGTTCCCCTGAAGCTTGAATATAAAAAAATTAGAATGTATTACATATACTTTACATATAAAAGCAAGCTTTAAATGTACAGTGATTAATACAAGACATTCTTTTTTTTTCCATTTTTCTTCATTGTATAATTGATTTCCTATCAGAAGAAAGGCAGACACCAAGTTTGGGAGAATGTAGAAGTGTTATCTGAACTATAAGTCATGGGTCATGTTTCTGTCTGAGGTGGATTTTGGGATTTCCTGAAGGAGTGAAGGGACAGTTCTACTTCTTTTTCGAGCATGCAGATAGTTCTGTAAGAAGGTCAGATTTGCAAAAGGAAGTTTCTTCTTTTAAATATGGTATTTTAAAATAGCGACATAAATATCAGAATTTTTCTTCTTTGCCAACAATTTGACTATTAATAATAATAATAATAATGAAGAAACCTTATAGTTAACTAAATGTAAGAGTGTTAGTCTCAGGCTAGGTTGCATCTGCTTCAGTTTTTCAGCTTCTTCTCCCTCCTTTCCAGCTATCATTAAAAAAACAAAAGCTTTTTTTTGAATTACATGGTAAAATAATTTGTTTTCCTATATTGCGAAGCTTGTTACTTTTGTGGAGGTCCATATAGACCAGAAATTTTAGAATAGTGCAGTCTGTTAAAGTGGCCTGTACTTTGATTACTTTCTCTGTGAAATAAATGAGTCTTTAAAAAAAAAACAACTTTATGGGACTGGCCTGGTGGCACAGCAGATAAGTTCACACATTCTGTTTCGGTGGCTCAGGGTTCACCAGTTCAAATCCTAGGTGAGGACCTATACACCCATTGTCAAGCCATGCTGAGGCAGGCGTCCAACATATAAAGTAGAGGAAGATGGGCACGATGTTAGCTGAGGGCCAATCTTGCTCAGCAGAAAAGAGGAAGATTGGTGGCAGATGTTAGCTCAGGGCTAATGTTAGCTCAGGGCTAATCTTCCTCAAAAAAAAAAAAAAAAGAAAAAGAAAACAAAACCCCCGCAACTTTATGTTATCTGAAATCATCTATAGACAGAATCTTGAAATTTTAAAAATCCTTGGAAATGAGAATAATGTTTTCTATCTTTTGTTAGTAGTTGGGCTTCCTTATTTGTAAACTGGGGATAGTAACACCTGTTTTTCAGGTGAGAATTAGAAGGGATGGAAGGTGCACAATTTGGGAGTCTTACACCCCCGGAGAAATGGTAGCTTCGTTGATGAATGCATGTGTGTGTGCCTTTTCCTAAAGGCTTACTAGTAAAATCACCTTTAAAAGAATAGGAAATCCACATTATAGTCCTTTATCTGGAAGCCTGGGATGCAAAAATTCAGATTTTTTTTTGATTATAGAAAAGTAAT